CCGCCCGGTACGCCCATGGGAATTGCGCTCTCAGATTTATGTGATAATGTTGGCTTACCGTTGAAAAACTCTGAATATCATTCAACCAAAATTTGCAACACATGCTCAAGAAAAATTCTGAAAGTGCATGAGCTTGTAAAGGAATTAAAATCTTCAGTTAATACATTAGAGAAGTTTCAACACCATTACCAGCCCAAAGATGTAGATGCATCAGGAAAGCGTAAACTGTTAACTCCAGACCGTGGCGCTAGTCCATTCAACCGAAAATCAAATCGCGTTTGTTCTCCACAAGGTTCTCCGGGTAGTATCTCTAGAACTGAATCGAAATCTGCATGTAAAAAATGCTTGTTCAGCAGCGATACAAGAGATGATCTCACTGGTCAGTCATCAGAAAATAGCACAGCCACAGATGCTGCAAACAACGTGGATGCAAATACTGATTCTGACGATGTACTAAGTAAGCTCAACATCGACGGTTTGAAAACGTGTGAAGGGCGTTCGTCACTTAAATTAAAAGTGCTTTTAGTTCATCCGAATTGGAATATTGTGACGCGAACCCTACAAACAAAAAGACAGTTCAAATAATTAGAAATCTTGTTGTTGTTGGTGGCTGGACTGCTGTCGCAAGTGCAGTGTTTGACCACCCAGATGAGGACGTTGAACAGCAATTACGACTTGCCATTAAGCTAGACGACAGTCAACAAAGAATTCCAACCATACAGTAAAACTGACTCAACTCTAAAGGCAGCGTGACAACGTGTGCAGATGAAATCACTTTTAATTTAAGTGACGAACGCCTTTCACACGTTTTCAAACCGTCGATGTTGAGCTTACTTTTATATAGTACATCATCAGAATCAGTATTTACATCCATGCACGTTAATTGTTTGCAGTATCATGTGCTATTTCCTGATGACTGGCCAGTGAGATCATCTTTTTTATCGCAGCTGCTGAACAAGAAAAATACCCACAATGTTCCAGATTAGATCGAGGATTAGATAGCAACAATATTGAAATCAACAAATACTACGGTTTTCCACTGCCTTGGTATTGACCAATCAGGTGATCGTATTCACCGTTCAGAATGTGAATGGCGTGTAGTCATAAAAGGTGGGCTTTCCTGCAGGCCCTCAATCCTCCCGCGTGCCCGCCAAAATCCTGCCCGTTGCAAATCAGGCAAAACTGAGGGCCTGCCACGCAGGCTATCAATGACTTTGTGCTCATGAAATCTCAAAAAAAGAGTATTTACAAATCATCGTAAATTGATAACGGGAACATTTCAAAGTGATATACAGCTATTTCAATTAAAGTAATTGTCCCCGACCAAAGCGGTAAAGTCGAATACGAACGCGAAAGGCTTGCTGGAAATTGCATATAAATTAATGATTTTCAGTTAGGGATTCCCAACAAGCCTTCCGCGCTCGTATTCGACTTTTCCGCTTTGCTCGGGGACAACCTTGATTGAAATAGCTGTATGCCACAAGGATATAATAGTAATTATAAATAAAAAAATTCAAATACCAAGTTAATATATAGTACTCTTGTCTCTAATTTGGTCTCAGACTTTAGATTTGCTATATGCAAAGCGAACGCCACGTCGCTACGATTTATGCTTAAAACGAGGTAAATTTCCGGGTTATAGTCAGTGGTTATAGTCTATAGAGAAGGCAAAAATTTGGGGCCCGCGCGAAGAAAATGCCACGGGCCCCGCGTTGTGTAAACGCGGCCCTGGTGGCAAGTTTGTTAAGGTCATCATTAAGCCGATTTTCCACCATAATAATTTAATTAATGGCGTAATTTTGCGCCCGAAGCAGAATTTTTATTTGTCTTTTCTAATTAGTTCGACCCAAGAAATCACAAGAGAAAGCAAACTTCCGCTCCGCGCGCAAAATTCCGCTAGTGTAAAACCGGCTTAAGGTGATACTGACTTGTTCCATACATACTTGCCACAACAACTGAAAACAAGCACTAAAACGAAAAAAAAATACAAAAAAGTTTACGGCAATTTATTTAATTATGAAATCTGCTGTGTTGGTATAATGTACTCAGGTGAATAAGATGTTTGTGTGATGTTACTCTGAGTGTATATCCACACCGGGCAGGCTTGAAAAATATGCCTGGCCACGGCGGGATTCGAACCTACGACGTTTGGAATACTAGTCCAATGCTCTTCCAACTGAGCTACGCGGTCAGGACGGTTCGAGTAAGCGATATTTCGGAACTGAGTCTAGTTCCTTCGATATCAGTGTAATCTAATATTTATGAAATCTGCTGTGTTGGTGATCTTATTCACCTGAGTACATTACACCAACACAGCAGATTTCATAAATATTAGATTACACTGATATCGAAGGAACTAGACTCAGTTCCGAAATATCGCTCACTTGAACCGTCCTTACCGCGTAGCTCAGTTGAAAGAGCATTGGGCTAGTATTCCAAAGGTCGTAGGTTCGAATCTCGCCGTGGCCAGGCATATTTTTCAAGCTTACCCGGTGTGGATATACACTCAGAGTAACATCACACAAACAATTGCTGGATGCATCGAACTATGCTGGATGCATCGAACCAACGAAAAATCATAGCCCGGACTTCTGTTAAAAGATACTCTCAAATCCTCAGCGGAAAGAATTACATTTTCACTGAATAAACATTGCATTAAAAGAAATAGAAAAATATTACGCAATATGTACTGTTTATATAAAACATGAGCAGCAGTGTTTTATCAGATATAACGATACGAGGCGAAGCCGAATATCCTTTAGGTCGGATCGAACACGCACTGCGAATGTTTCAAATTGCTTCAATATTAATTATTTAAAATTTATGTCAATCAAGGGAAATCTCTATCACATAATTATAAAGATACGGCACGCTTTGGATTTTTGTTTGTGTTTTCCTCATGAATTATTAATACGTTTTTGAAGTATATATCAACCAACAGTAACACGCATCATACAGAAACAAACAACGTATTCCTTAAAACAAAATACAAAATAAAATTTAGTAATAGGACCACTTCGTGTCATGATTGGCCATGTGATCTTCAAGTAGTCTGGGGACATCAAACACAACATCGCAAACACAACAAACATATCCAACACAACTTGGTTCTGCTGATTCCAGTTCCTGACATAAACCACATTGATAGTTTCCATCGTTGGCATGTTGGCTTGCTATATGTTGTACTGATTTCATGAAACTAATATGTTGTTTATCACATTTACTGCACATATATCGTCCGTCGTGTTTAAACACCAAAAAATGTTTATCCAAATCTTGCGGTTCAACAATCTCTCTGCTGCAAGTGTTGCACAACAAATGTTGCTTTTTGTGGTGAGTAAGAGAGAATTTTCTTGTAAATCTTTTCTTGCAAACTTCACATTCGTAAGGCTTTTCTTCAGTGTGCCTTCTTTTGTGTCGCATCAAGTTGCCTGACTTTGTAAATCTCTTCTTACACACTTCACATTCATACGGCTTGTCTCCGCTGTGCGTTCTTTTATGTTCTACCAAGTTGCTTAGCTGTGTAAATCTCCTCTTACAAACATCACATTCATAAGGTTTGTCTCCGGTGTGCGTTCTTTTATGGCTCACCAGGTTGTTTGAGTGTCCGAATCTCTTCTTACAAATATCACATTCATAAGATTTTTGTCCAGTGTGCGTTCTTTTATGTGTCACCAAGCTGCCGGAGTATGCAAATCTCTTTTTACAGACATCGCATGCATAAGGTTTATCTCTGGTGTGCGTTCTTTTATGTCTCACCAAGGTACCAAACTCTCTAAATCTCCTCTTACAAACATCACATTCATAAGGTTTGTCTCCGGTGTGCGTTCTTTTATGTCTCACCAAGCTGCTCGACTGTCCAAATTTCTTCTTGCAAACATCACATTCATAAGGTTTTTGTACAGTGTGCGTTCTTGTATGTTTCACCAAGCTGCCCGAGTGTGCAAATCTCCTGTTACAAACATCGCATGCAAAAGGTTTGTCTCCGCTGTGACTTCTCATATGTGTGGCTGAATTGCTTGGCCGTATGAATCGCTTCTTACAAACATGACACTCACTTCCTGAGTATGTTCGTTTGTGTTTTACTAAGCTGCCTGATGTTTTTACATGATGATCAACTTGTGAACTTGGTTGATCAATCTAATTACTGTATCTGAAAAATATAAAAAAGGATTTCAGCCTGGAAGTTAGCATGTGTGGGGGAAAACAAACCTGGTCCTCAGGCTCTTTCCTCTGGGAAACTGGGTGCTTTAATAATTTAAGTGCAAAACCAAGCATGTGATGAAAGCCAACCAATCAAACGAATGTAGTCAAAACCAACTGTATATAGCTAGGAACTGATCGAACGTTTGGTGTGGTTGAGGTGGGGAGAAGAAAATAGAAGACAACTACGGGAGACAGTTGGCTTGTGGAATTACAAAGTTATTTCCACTGACCGATACGAGTATATCTATAGTAGGAACAACCAAGAGCGGCGATAGAAGGCGGCATGGGCGTACCGGAAGGAAAAAATTAGGAGGGCGGAAAGAAATTTGCCCGACTTTTTCGGATTGTGCCCGACCAGTGCCGAAAATTTTTTTTCCGAAACAAATTAATTTTGGCGACCTTCCCCCCGTCGCCAAAAAAATTTCGTTCAGTGTACCATTTTAGGGATTCAAAAATTTTTCGGACATACCAAAATTTTTCGGGACATCATACAAATTTTCCAGACATCACAAAATTGACCACAAAATTGACAGAATTTGTCCCATTTATTTTTATAATAAGCCAATATTGCCCGACTGTGGAGCAAATATATATTGTCCGACTGGCTTCGTTTGTCCAACAAACTGGGGAGTGAGGCTGCCGCCCCCCCCCCCCGTCCCCCCGCCCGGTACGCCCATGAAAGGCGGGGGCAATAGATGGGAGGGAAAAACAAGTGAAGCATTTGAGTAAAACTGATAAAAAATTGATAATTTAGCTATAATTGGGGAAATGTAGGCAAACACTAAGAAAACTGAACGAGAAACGATACGTGAACCCCCCCCCCCTCGTTCCCCCCACCGAAGAAGAAAAATTTATACGCAGAGAAAATGATTCGACAAAATTTACTTACACCACCCGCCCCTACTAAAATAGGGCAAGCGCCGCACCCGGGAACAACACAACAACAACATCTAACTTTGGGGGTCACATAGTTTCCAAGTGCATTTGAATCTCATCTCATGAGCTTATGTCGGTCTTATGCTACTGTATCTCATGCAATTTACGCATTCTTAACTCAAAGTGCATGTGTTAAGGCTAAATAACCTATCAAGTAAACTTTTAAATTAGAGTAAAAATCTGACAAAACATATCAGCCTTGGTCTTCTGAAAATATTATACCTTAAATTCAAAGTGTCCAATCAGAAAGCTAAGTTTGTGGCACGTGAGCATGAAATTTATCACCAAATCACGTCTTACGTCATCGTATTTGACGTAGCAGGTGATTTTAATCATATCATCCGGTTGATTTGATCATTTCGCCCAGCCCGGGTGATATGATTCGTGTAAACCACGCGCGGCGTCACGCAAACAAGCGGGCCGTAAAAATATACTAAGTAGTGATGAACGAACAAGTTTTTAAATTAAACTAAAAAGCTCGTTTCTATTAAAAATTTCGATTAATTTCGACATTTTCAATTAATTAACAAAGTTAGAAAGAAAGTATGTATAATAAAATACAGGCTGTTTAAACTGTGAAAGTCGATGATTTATTCTATGGAATGAGGAATGCGTTGTTTAGGACATTCTGGAATTATGCTGAATCTCCGCAACGATGACACTGAAAATGTACTGCCCCGTCCAATTTTTTGTTATCAAAGTCCCAATGTGCTCCTTGACTATGTATCTGAACTGTAAAGTCGGTTTACGTTTCACGTATAACATTGATTAGCATAGTTGGTTTTACGCACGCTTACCAGAAATTAGCTTATATTTGCAACATCCGGAAGTCACGTAATTGCTAATAATGACGTCATCAGAAATCAAACTGTGTAATAGAAATCTTAGAATACAAGAATCTTAGGATAACTACATTACTAAGGCTAACTAGATTGCCAAGGAAAACTAGATTACCAATTAAGGATAACAATTAACCAGATTACCAAGGATAACTAGATTAGTAAGGATAGCTAGATTAGTAACGATTGCTAAATTACCAAGGATAACTACATAACTAGGAATAACTAGATTACCAAAGAAAACTAGATTACCAAGGATAACCAGATTACCAAGGATATCCAGATTACCAAGGATAACTAGATTACCAAGGATAATTAGATTACCAAGGATAACTATATTACCAAGGATAATTAGATTAGCAAGGATAGCTAGTTTAGTAAGGATAGCTAGATTACCAAGGATAACTACATTACTAGGAATAACTAGATTGCCAAGGAAAACTTGATTACCAAGGATAACCAGATTACCAAGGATTACTAGTTTACCAAGGATAACTAGATTACCAAGGATCACTAGATTGCCAAGGATAACTAGATAAGCAAGGATAACTAGATAAGCAAGGACTAGATTACCAACCAAGGAGAACTAGCTAGATTACCAAGGAGAACAAGATTACCAAGGAAAACTATATAGTGACGTCATCAGCATTCAAACTGTGTAATAGAAATCTTAGAATACAAGAGTCTTAGGATAACTACATTACTAAGGCTAACTAGATTGCCAAGGAAAACTAGATTACCAATTAAGGATAACCAGATTACCAAGGATAACTAGATTAGTAAGGATAGCTAGATTAGTAACGATAGCTAGATTACCAAGGATAACTAGTTACTCCAACACCCCACGGCCCACGCTCGGAACATTGGTGTTACATTTGATAAATTTCTTACAATGTCTATACATATTAATGACATATGTAAGTTAGCATTTTATCACCTACGGAACATTGCTCGTGTTAGAAGATACCTGTCGATGCGTACTCCTGAACAGCTTATTCATGCTTTTGTGACTATTAAACTAGACAATGCGAATGCATTGTTGTACGGTCTTCCTAAGGATCAGATTGGAAAGTTACAGCGTGTTCTAAACTCTGCAGCACGACTGTTAACTGGATCCCACAAGTATAATCATATTACACCTATTTTAATACAGCTACACTGGCTACCAGTCGAGCAACGGATTATATATAAGATTATTTTATTGACATTTAAAGCGTTAAATGGACTTGCTCCGTAATACATTGCAGAGATGATCAGCCATTATGAACCTTCTAGATGTCTTAGATCCTCTAAAGCTAATTTACTTAATGAACCAAGATTTAATGTAAATAGCTACGGTGGTAGAGCTTTTTACGCAAGTAGTCCTAGGTTATGGAATAAATTACCTGTCTCTATTAGAGCATGTACAGATATTTCTGAATTTAAGAGTAAGCTTAAGACCCACATGTTTAAAATAGCCTATGATTTATAGATGTATATAAGTTTATAAGTATATATAAGCAATAATTAGGAAATTTGTTATATTTTATTGTAAATTTCTAGATTAATGAATGTAAAGCGCTTAGATCTATGTGTTATAAGCGCTATATAAACTTGTGATAATAATAATAATAATAGATTACCAAAGAAAAGGAATAACTAGATTACCAAAGAAAACTAGATTACCAAGGATAACCAGATTACCAAGGATAACTAGATTACCAAGGATCAATAGATTGCCAAGGATAACCAGATTACCAAGGATAACTAGATTACCAAGGATAACTATGTTACCAAGGATAACTATATTACCAAGGATAACTAGATTACCAAGGATAGCTAGATTACCAAGGATAACTACATTACCAGGAATAACTAGATTGCCAAGGAAAACTTGGTTACCAAGGATAACCAGATTACCAAGGATAACTAGATTACCAAGGATCACTAGATTGCCAAGGATAACTAGATAAGCAAGGATAACTAGATAAGCAAGGATTAGATTATCAACCAACGGAACTAGCTAGATTACCAAGGAGAACAAGATTACCAAGGAAAACTAGATTACCAAGGAGAACTAAATTACCAAGGCATACCATTACCAAGGCGGTGATAATCAGTTTGTGCAGTAATAAAAGTAAAATGTGTATTAGTTGTAAATGCGATAAGTTGTTAATTGCCAAGAAAATGACGCAACGAGCAGAAATACTGAACTAAAAATTCGTGTTGACACTTGAAACTAAGTATTAATCAAGACATTTTGAATGAGAATAATTTGAATGAAATTGAAATGATAACTGCGGCCCAAATTATCGAACGTCCGCATTAATATTATACGTAAGGTTCATCAAATGAACAAAGTCTCACACCAAAGATCTCTTTATGAGCTTGGAAAAAGGAGTGAATGATACTTAACTTTTTGTAATTAGTGTATAATCTTCAGAATTCTATAGAATGTTTCCCCACATTACAGGAAATGTCCTTTCAGAGTGCCTAGATTACAAACTTTTCTGTGGGTACATGCTCCCGGAACTCCTCTAGAAGTTTGTCACACCTATAAGCCGCATTTCATTTGCCAAGACGAAAATATTGTCGATAGCTATATATAGATTACCAAGATGAACTAAATTACCAAGAAGAACTAGATTTTCCAGAATAACTAGATTACCAAGGGTAACTATAGATTATCAAGGATAACTAGATTACCAAGATAACTACCAAGGAGAACTAGTTCACTACTAAAGCAGAGCTAGATTTATATCTTTTTAAAGATGTTAGAGGCGAAACCTGGACTATTCACAAAAGTGTTCAGCCGCTAATGGTTTGAAATATTTATTTACTTTATGAGCTTTCGACTGCCCGTCTGCATTCTTGTCCACATTGTATAATACTACCCGTTGAACACTGCAGACTGGCAGTCGAAGGGTCGTAAATACATAAATATTTCAAACCAGAGAGCGTGAACACTATTAATAATATATTTATTGAAGCGAAACTTTCATACAACCTTCGTGGAACTATATATTCTGTAGATATTTGCGAATAATTAACGCGATGACTTAGTCTATAAAATAACTGATATATAACGTAAAATAAAAGAGAAGTTCTGCGAAAATAATACAAAATACTCGTGTAATACGTTTCAGAATGTCTCAGAACCACCCGCAGTAATTTACCGTCAGTAGTGTAGCTTCATTGAGTAATTATACATTATACAGTATTGTACGTCGCGATCATATATAGAGAAACGTCAACAAAGAGTGCAAAAAGCAGCGGCTAGTTTCGTGTTGTGTAAATTCGCTAGAACAGACGACGTTTTATCATTAAACTGGTGAATGGAATATGGAGCATTCTGAAAATATCTTATGAAAGCGCTTCATGATGCAAACTGACCAAATTATCTAAAACTGCAATTGGTAGAACATTCTCGAGTTCTTAGATCGAGCAGTGGCTCTCAAATTCAAGTTCCTCTAATTAAGAACACATTCATTACAGGACCAGTCACAGCACATCTTTTTTAATGATTTACCTGTTTAATTAGCAACTGTATTGAGACTACCGAGTATTTTTTAAAGAGGCCAATAATTTCTTTGTCTTGAAAGCATGGTCAAGAATTGGTTAAACTTTGACATTACCCATATTAATATGTGTACATATCGTTACATAATTATAAGTAGTTTGTTTTAACTTGTAATACAGTAGTAATTTTACATGTAAAATTTTGTCTGTCGAACACGCTAACACTTAACAGTTATATTGCAGTATAGTAATTGTATATAGTTTGTAAAATTTGTATATAATTTAATTGTATTGCATGTATATTTTGGTAAGCGAAGAGCCACTCTGTGGATGTATTGCGGCGAATTTAATGAAACTTAGTGTTATTTTGCATGTATGGATGTATGGTGTGTTGTTATGTTAATGAAATATATCTGCATGTGGATGTATTCGGCGTTTCCCTGCAAGGAATCGAGAACCACCCGATCGTTCTGAACAGACAATCGAACCATAGAACTATATTTATTTGTTTGGAAATTAGTACTTACTACATAGAAACCAGGGCCGTATTAACCAAGTGGCAGATGCGGCATATGCCGCGGGCCTCGCGCTTATGGGGGCCTCGCGCTTTACTGCGCCACGCCCATTTTTACGAGAACACGCCTATTTTCTATTGGGATACGCCCATTTTAGGTGCCTCGCGAATTAGGGACATCGCGCATTTAGGGCCCCTAGGATTGGCAGTTTACCCCAGGAAAATATACAATACTCGCATGCATGTAATCTCCAGTTGCGCTGATCTGTTATATATGATCCTGTTTATACTTGTTGACCCAACAACTGGGCCAGGCAGGCAATTGTTTATAATTGATGCCAATCAATTGAAATATTGAAAGCAATTATTTAACAATTTTGTGTGTCTTTGAATTGCAAAGGTTTTCATTACGGGGGTCGGAGGGGTCGCCGCGGGCCTCGCGCGACGTTAATCCGGCCCTGTTAGAAACTAGTCTTGTTGAATCAGAGGAATGTTGAGTACTTTATCGAACCTTAGTGACACAAAGCGGATGTGATGTCGGGTCACACGACGTTGTTGTTCTTTACAAAACACTACAATAATTGTAGTAATTACCAAGCATAACTATAGATTGAGTAGATAGCTATATATAGATTACCAAGATGAACTAAATTACCAAGAAGAACTAGATTTTCCAGAATAACTAGATTACCAAGGGTATAAACTATAGATTATCAAGGATAACTAGATTACCAAGATAACTAGATTACCAAGGAGAACTAGTTCACTAAGGAGAGCTAGATTTATATCTTTTTAAAGATGTTAGATGCGAAATCTGGACTATTCACAAAAGTGTTCAGCCGCTCCCTGAATGGTTTGAAATATTTATTTACTTTATGAGCTTTCGACTGCCCGTCTGCATTCTTCAAAGGCTAGTTACATTGTATACTACCCGTTGAACACTGCAGACTGGCAGTCGAAAGGTCGTAAATAAATATTTCAAATCAGAGAGCGTGAACACTATTGATAATATATTTATTGAAGCGAAACTTCCATACAACCTTCGTGTAACTATATATATATTCTGTATTTGCGAATAATTAGCGCGATAACATAGTCTATAAAATAACTGATATATAACGTAAAATAAAAGAGAAATTCTGAGAAAATAATACAAAATACTCGTGTAATACATTTGAGAATGTCTCAGAAACCCCCGCATGCAGTAATTCACCGTCTGTATAGTGTAGCTTCGTCGATTAATTATACTTGCCATTATACAGTATCGTACGTCGCGATCGTATATACAGGGTGTTCAATAAAAACGCAACCTCGGAATTTCCTAAGAAATCACTTTGCAATTCTTAAGCATAAAAGATTTTAGGCCCCTGGGAATTGAAATCGAATTGCTAATAGATCATATTACTGTTGTTGTGCACTAAATAAATGCATAAATTTTGCTTTATGCACTCGCGTGTGCAGTAATTTTGACAGTTATGCTATTTTAAATTCCCAGGCGCCTAAAATCTTTTGTCTTTAA